GGGTTAGTGGTTAGTGGTTAATTAGTGGTTAGGGTTAGATTAAAATTATATTAGGGTTAGGGGTTAGAGTTGGAGTCGAGTTAGATTAGAGTCAGGTTCATCATCCCAATAAGTTATTGCGCAAATTTATTGTATTGATAATTTCGGACGTGTTTTTACAATTTACTCATATAGTAAATTGGGTCGAGCTCATGCTGTAGATTAATATTACTTAGACTATAAATAGGTTAATATATTATATTTGCCCCCTGTGGAAATTCAGCTTCGGTTGACAGGGTTAGCGTGGGTAAATAATGTTTTCTATCTATCTACATGCAACCTGTGTCTTTGTGTAAATCCATAATTACCAAGACAAATCCGAGTTCGAGTCAATTCCGAGCCCGCGAGTCAAACGTCCAAGTTCACGTAAACTCGAAATTGAATAAAATTCACAATCGAATAGGGTTAAGGTTAGGGTGTTAACTGTCACTGAACTCTAGATCTACAAAGACCGCTAAACAGTGATTCCAACAAGTCATGGGTTTTCTCTGGGTAATCCGGTTTCCTCGATCCCACAGGGAAAGTTGACAGGGTGGGTTAAACACATAGGTCAGGGGGCAGATCATTAATGAGGTATGGACTAATAGCGGCTGCTTAAAAAGCGGCATTTGTAATGTAACGCCAGTTCCGGTTCTAATGTAACAAGTCACTGAAAAACCCTGATAGCGAGTGTGCTGTGCAATATCTGTAACTGTATCTGTACTTGGTCACTCGGACATTTGATTCGGGCTCGGATTTGATTCGGACTCGGATTTGACCGACAAACTCTCTGTTGTCTTGCAGACTGCCAGTTAGTTGTTGAAACGATCAGACTTGTTGGAACAACTTGTCCTGTGGTTTCTCCTAAAATCATTAACATTAAAATTAAAACTTTTAAACATTTTAAACATTAAAATTTTAACATTAAAATGTTGCCTGGTCAAAGTGGAAAGTTGCTTTCCTTGCCGCCGTCGACAGTTTTATCCCGAAACCATGCAAAGCTCAAGCGTTCTCTAAATCTTGTGGATAGTTAAGAATAAGTGAATAACTTTTGTTGCCCTAGCCTCCGCCGGGAATTTTCAACTAGTCGCAGATCGCTAGACACGGTCACGCCGAGAACTTTAGCATGCGTGGGACACATTCCAATTCTGTTGTTGACTGTGCAGGTTGTAGTCATGATTAGTGAACTATATTTTTTTTGCTTTCTTTCGCGAGATCAGTAGCACCTGACATTTGGATTTGTTAAATTATTGTTCCATTTCCCAGTCAAGACTCTATTTATGTAAGCTGCAGCTTACGATTTGGAGGTGGTTGCTAATCGAGTAAGGAAGGTCAATGGATTTTTATAGTTTTGACTATAGTCAGCGGCAAAAAGAGAAATCGTGGATTGGGAATGGATGTAGTTTGGGATATCATTAACGTAGACAAGAAAGATGAGACAGCCATGTATGAAATCAGGGCGCTGTGATGAAACCTTGGGGCACACCCGACGTAATTTGTAGCCACTCAGCGAAAACGCCATCAAGACTGACAATTCTTTGATGTCTGTCAATACGATAGCTTCAAAACCTTCACGAGAGAAAAGATCCAGGGATACCATGAATGCTCAGTGTTAGGAGTAATGTCAACTTCAGTACCCGATGTGACAGAGTCTAAAATGTTATGATATATATCTCCAAAAGTTCATACATGTCCAATACTATCGACACGATACGGAGCTTCACGATCCGTCAAATTCGTATGGACCGTAAACACTAGTCACGATCCGTATCAACTAGCTCGTGGCTACTAAAGCCAGTTTTCCACTTCAATCGTATCGTACCAAAACGTAGCGTATTTCCTTGTTTCCTGAGCACTAGAGTGGAACTAATGACTTCGACACAAAAGAAAATGCTATGACACGTTACGATTCGGTCGAAGAAAGAGGAAAACTGGCTTAACTCATGACGAAGGGCCTTCGCTCGAAACGTCGAGTTTCTGCTTGTTTATTTCAGGTAGTAATATAACCTCTCAGCACAGCAATTTCACATTGGTACTACCCACACTGCTACAGTATATATATATATATATATATATATATATATATATATATATATATATATATATATATATATATATATATATATATATATATATATATATATATATATATATATATATATATGTTTATATATATATGTTTATATATATATATATATATATATATATATATATATATATATATATATATATATATATATATATATATATATACCCAATAGCGGACGCTTTGACAAAATTAGACTCCAGCTATCTATAGCGGCCAGGAGATCGAGTTATTAAAATTTTGAATCGTAGTTATTAAAAGTTTGAAACCTAACAAATGCTCAGTAGACTCATATGTCGACGATAGCAAAGTATCCCTATCGTTTTCGATAAAAGATCGATGTATCGGAAGGCAAGGTAGCGCTCGAGGAAGACCTTAAAAATGTTGCTAGTTGGTGCTACACAAATTTTCTCCTCCTAAATCCAGAGAAGACAAAATTTATGCTATTTGGGTGACCTTACTTATTATTATTATTATTATTGTTAATGGTTTAAAATACACACCTTCGCAATAAATTGAAACGGTACGTTTACAAAATTATGAAAATTAGTACTATATATATTTACATCTGTCTATATCTCAATCTCAATTTATTATGTCGGTAAACTTCTGCAAGATCACACCAACTTTGAAAACTACAGTATATAAATAAACTAATTAAAATATGAACAATGTCAATACATATAAATATGTTTAAAAGGTTCCAAGTTAGCTAAAATTCAATATAATGCATTTAAAAATAACTACTTAGTTTCGTTTTGAATTCACCTAATGAACTTGAGAGAACTAGTAACCTGAGTATCAGGCCCTTGGTATTGAAAGAGGGCCTGACACAATTCGCCTCTAAAGCCATGTTCAACATCCAGAATCTGGATGTTATGCTGATTGGCTAAGAGACGATAAAACGCAGGGTTGCCAACTCTCCCGGATTATCCGGGAGTTTCAAGATTTTGGACCTAATCTCCCAGTCTCCAGATTTTGTCTTAATTCTCCCGGATTAGGATAATCACCAACGTCGATTTATGCACTAGCCATTTGATTCTTCGTTTTCAAAGGTTTTAACAATAAAAATGATTTGCGTTGCACATTAAAACTTCGTTTTGCTGGTAAAAATAAAATACTTTCGTTGCTGCCTGCGTTGCTTTTAATCAGCGGTTGAATGGCGCCATTTTCGTAAACACTTCATCTTACAGGGATTTTTTTACCCGTATTGACGCCATTAAAGATGTCGATATTTTATTAAACTAGTACATAATATTGTGAAACTTGAAATCAACAGTTATTTGTGTTCAGGGACGCCGGAACTGGGGGGGGGGGCAGGGGGCAGAAGTGCCCTTTTAGTTTTAAAATACTACGCGATAAATCACATTTCCAGCGATACTTTTTGTAGGAAAATCATGAGATTCAGGCAATTTATAGTTAATATTCGACTTTTTGTATGTCCGGAAAACATTTTTGACACCTAAAATGAAAAAAATTTTTGACCCCTGCACTGACCGAAATTTTTTTGGCAATGGGGGGGGGGCAGGTCGCCGAAAAAAAATATTTTCCGGTAGATTTGGAAGTTTTGCTCTATATAGGTGCCCTTCGTGTGCGTCCGCCCCCCTTTGCCTTATCATCGTTCCGGCGTCCCTGTTTGTGTTGATAATGATGTTTAACAATAAACCAGTGTATATATCTATATACCAGCAGGTATTTACAACTGCATAGTTGGCTTTTCGATAATGACGTCATTTCCGACGTGACGTCATCGATTTCAATGGAATATCAATTCTCCAGATTTGAAAACTTCCAGGGTTGGCAGCCCTGAAAACGCATCATGTGATTCAAACCGGAAATATATGACCGGCGTATGTAAACACCAAAAATAGAATTTGTAATTTTGTCAATATACTGTTTAAAAGTGCTTTATTTCTGAAATTTATTTTCAATTAATTAAGCCAAAATTATTTTTAAATAACAAAATAAGTACGAAAAGACGTTGAAAACGCTTTTGCAGCAACATTTTACTCGGTATAAAACTAAAACTACATAGTCATAGTAGAAAGCGTGTCTAAATATCTCGCCGTAGAACGAAAATATGTGGATATCGGAAATTTTCAAATATTTAGTTCCAAAAAGCTGAAGCCTTGTTTATCAGTTTATTGCCCAGCTGTTTTCCAAGACCTGCAAGGATATAGTAGTCAGCTCGCTCGAACTAATATGCCAACATCAGGCAGAAATTGAAGACAATAGCCGCTGTGTCAGACGCAGTTGAAGCGAATAGCTGTCTCGAATAAACTATTAACATGACACGAGGACAGAGGAAGAAGAAATCCTATTCAGAGTGCCGAATGTTGTCTGTTTAGACTCCTGGAAAAAGCCATCGAGCTATGGTTCCCCGAATGAGGCATAGTTTACGCTTAGAATTCCATCATGTGGATATTTCGACAAAAACATACCGATTTTTCTCCGTATTTATTCAAATTTATACAAAACTGCAAATAACGAAATTTGCGTATTTACATACCTGTAGCGGACAACCGGAAATATGCTACGACCGGAAATAATTTTAATTGGCTGATATTCGGGGGTGGAAAGCCCGTAGAGGCGAATTGTGTCAGGCTCTCTTCAATACCGAGAGCCTGATACTGAGGTTAGAGGACTAGTTCAGGTGGTAGCTTATTCCATTCTCTGATAGTTCTTGGAAAATATGAATATTTAAAAACGTCTTTAGTTGCCTTAGGAATTTGGCATTTCAATGGGTGGCTGCCGCGTGTTCTAGATTCTGGGTGTAATTTCAAATACTGCTCGGTGTTAAAATCTACAAGGTTATGACTTATCTTGTACATCATTGTTAATCTTGATTCCACCCTCCTCTCTTCAAATGTCTTCCATTCAAGCGTGTCCAACATACCTGTAACCCTGGCAAGTGGAGCATAGTTCTGCAAGCAGAATCTCGCGCCTTTTCTTTGGACTTTTTCTAGTGTCTTAATGTCTTTCTTGTAGTGTGGGTCCCATGCCTCACAAGCATATTCCAGTTTTGGCATTACCATTGTTTTGTAAACAGTTTCCCTATTAACGTGTTTTGGACAATTCCAAAAATTTCTTCGTGCCATTCCAAGTAATTTACTGGCTTTACTTGCTGTGTTTGAGACATGCTCCGAGAACTTCATTTTGTTATTTAGCATTACCAGAAATATGGGACATTTTGCTCCCGCTTTTGTAGTCAGCGGCTAAGTCCGGTTTATATGCCTAACATTGCCTAACATAAGTAAAACGACTTCGCATTTTACATTGAATCTCCAATTCAAGTATTATTCAACCAAAAACTGTGATTTTAAACTATATTTTGCAGTTTTTGCTGAGCACTTCCGGTATTTTGACCTTTAACCCCGCAAATTTTTATCAAGGCTAAAAATATCGCAAATATCCTAAAAAATCCTAAAATATCCCTGTGTTTTTACGTGAGAGAGCCTGGATCTAGTCTTTCAAAATAAACAAGAAACATGGCTGCTCGAAACAGCTCAAATTTGTATTAAAACTTGTCGTTTTTGGATATTAAGATGGCCTAATGGCGACATACAAGAACCGTAAAAAGGCGAACTTTTAAACGTTTCGGGAACTAGTTTCCCTGAAAATTACAGCGATTTACTTAGCTAAATTAACAGTTTGGACATCATTAAATATATCGCGAGCTCGGCACTTTGCATCGCCCGAATGGATGTTGGTCTATTCGTCGAATATTTACCTATTACACTATGAAATTCATCGAATTGCGAGTAAAAATACAACATTCTCAGGAACCAACTAGACGCGTGCAATACTAGCGATTTTTGTTTAGAAATATTGGTTGTTCGTGTCGCTACTATAATCGAGCTCGGCAACCATGAAATATTTAAACAAAGTATATTAAAATTTGATATTTTCATCAACTCCCATATAGTTTATAGTAATATTTGGTCGCCATATTTGGTCAAAGTGCGCATGTCCGTCGCCATCTTGTCCCATATTTCTGGTAATGCCACGTGTTGTTCACTTACTAGCTTGCTTGCTTCAGAACGAAAGGGACTAGGTTGTACTAATTATAATTAGCTGGACGCTAAATAATTTTGAAAATTTGCAAATAGTATTTTTGGATAACATAATAGTTTATATGAAAACGTTTGATAAGTATTTTATACCTTAGACAATATTTTATTTAATATTTTTTGGATTTTTTATTTACGTTTATTTTGTACTATATAACCTAAATTACTTTGCTCGAAACACTAAGGGGCCTGTCCTTTTATTTTTTCATTTTTGCGTCTAGAAAGATAAAACTCTCTTGTCAAATGTCGAGTCTACCAAACTCTTGCATTCTGTTAAAAAAATTCGGATAAGGGACAGTTTATTATTTCCGGCTGGGGGTGACACCGAAGAGAAATGTTTTTCTTGGTAAGACTTTTGCTTATCCAACCATTAAAAGGTCAAAAACCCCTCAAATGTCAATTAAAAATACCCACCCCTGGGGAAGAACCAAAAGGATACCATTCAGTTGTCACACGTGTCCTTTACTACTTCTGTGACATGAGTTTAATAACTTCTTGTGCAATTTTCTGCAGTCTAAAGTGTCATGCTGTCTACACATGTACTTTCGTTGGAAACAC